CCCCCCTCCTCTACCCTTTCCTGGCAGTCGGTTTTTTGTGTGTGGGGAGGGGGGGGTCGAATTCGAAGCTGCCAGCTTTGGTGGGTTTGTCCGTTATCTCGGTCATTTCAAGAACAATGCTATGTTCCTTGATAAACTCTTTGGGGTTCTGTAGATTGACCAATGTTAGATTAGCTTGCAATCTAAAAAAATATTTATAACTTTAAGCACAGTCCTCTGGCCCCTGCCCCTCTTCTTCTTCTTCTTCTTCTTCTTCTTCTTCTTCTTCTTCTTCTTCTTCTTCTTCTTCTTCTTCTTCTTCTTCCCGCCTAAGATCCCAGTGCTCGAGAGCAAGGAAAATGTGGGATCTTAGGCAAACCGGGTGTTAGCCGACGCACCAAAGAAAGAATGTTCGGCGACCCATGTTCAGGCCCACAACCGCTAAAATGGTATCCCTTCGTTCTAAAATGAACTGACGAGACCCTGGGTGGGTTTATAACTTATGGCGAGCAAAGAGTGGTCAACCTTGATGACCAATCACAGTGGCATGAGGCATGCTATTTTCACTTTTTATCCTATCGTGAGTATCAAGATCTACGCTTATCCAGTTGCCCCTCTCCTTTACCTGTCCAAAATGTATAGCTTTCCATCTCTGATCGAGTCCCCCCTTTACGTTGTGACCACAACAATTAAAATTCAGCCTGTCTCGCAAATTCGAGAGCAGAGATAGACCTAACTGCAGCAATGGTCAGGGGAGAGTTCACAGTTCGATCTGATCCCGTCTGGAGCGAACTTGTAGCCTACCCACAGAAAGAGTTATGAACGTTTAGGTGGATAGCTCAGATGCGAGGGCGGTGTTTGGGGAAAACAATTAAACGCGTCCGTCAGTTCACACCTCTTTGTGATCCTGTCTGGGGCAAGCATTGTATTGTTTTATCGAGTTTTACAACGCTTATGTGATCACATTCACGAGAGTGGCTTATCTTCGACGCGACGAGCATTTCAATGATCTCGACTTTTCACTCTTGGTTGATCGGCTGTACCTGCTCGGGTTTTTGTTCTGTAAATTATGGTATGGAATGTGGTATCTTAGCCGAATACAGACCTTCAGAGTGAATCAGAGCGGGATCTTAGGGGTGACTTTTGTATAGTGAAAATTCTGTTTTCTTATTAAAACAGCGGGATCTTAAGCAAACCGGGATGGTAAACGGTGGGATCTCAGATGGAGGCTACTGCAATAAGAAGTAGGTTATCCCAATAGCCTACGCACACTAGTATGAATCCTTTCCGGTACGTGATCTGTAAATTGGTGGCAACAATTCGGCCCAGGTTCCTCTAATTTACTGTGGATTGTGGCACAACTTGATCTTGTTGTCCAAAATCAAATTAAAATCGAACATACCCAAACAGCCACCTGTATAAGACAATCAACTGAACAATCAATTTGTCCATTTCCTCCCTTACGTTTTATTTTTTTTTACATTATAATGATACTGTGTGTGACGACCACCGTCCTAAGACGGCTACTTTTCTCCTCGACAATGGATGGCCGTCTTTGAAAGTTTCAACTGTACGTGTATGTCTGTCCCGGTTTCAGTTGGTTGAGACTTTTGGCTAGAGCCGCTCGAATAACAACCACCTGATTAACTGAGGTCAAAATATGACGTGTTCCTTATTTAGAGCGGATCCCCAGAGGGTCCGGTGGTGGAGGGGTTACTGGGCTCTTCTCCGAAGCGGAAAGTCTGGGTTCGAGCCCCAGTTCAGACAAGGATTTTTTTCGCCCCCTCCTGCCCACCCAGCAGTAATGGGTACCTGACTTTGAGTTGGAGAAGTAAAGGCGGCGTGGACAGGAACTGGCCACCCTACCACAATATGCCGAAGGCCCAGAAAGTTGTCTCACTAACCAGGAAATCCCCAAAATCCAGATCGGATGCGGGAACAACTTTTACCCACAGGTCAAAAATCCAAATCTGCTCTGCTCAGGCAGATCATATCGGTTGATGGCGCTGGGCAGAGCACACTATAATATCAAATAGACCTCTGCTTTGCTTCAGTAAAGTTGACTTACACAAGTCTATTGGAGTCTACACAGTCCATGCACCACAAAGATCTGACCTCGCAAAGTCATATGACCCGTTGTAGCCTTCTAACTGGCTGTTGGCCACGATTTTTATGTGCCCCTCTTGACCTAGAACAATCAAACGTGTTTAATTGTGTTGAAAGAACCACAGTGACATGGTAAAAGAAACGATGTGTTTGAAAAGAGCAAACCCGATCGACACAAACAACAGAGATGGGGTAAAGAAGCTAAATCTACCAGTAAAGATTAAAACCTAGAGACAAATAGGGACCTAAACAAAAATGCATATTAATATGCGAATAACATTTACTGATCTACGAGCGAAGAAGTAAGATTTACAGTGAGCAATAACACCTTCCAACTGCCAGAGTACAAAATCAGTTGACAGCAAAAGGAATATAACATTACATTAATGGAACCTGTCCAAGACGACCACTCTTTGTTGAAGAGAAAAATGGTCATCTTAGACAGGCATTCCTCTTAGACAGAGTCATAATAATATCATAGAAAAAATAAACTCAAGGGGGGGGGGTGATTGTTTGTACAAGTCAGATGGTCATTAGAACAGATTCGTATGCAATTCGTACGTAATGGCAATGTAATTTGTACGGAATTCGTACGTAGTTCATATGTAATTCGTACACAATGCGTACGTACTTTGCATGTAATTCTAGTTCGTATGTAACTCGTATGTAAGTCGAACTCGTATTTAATTCGTATGTAATTCGAATTCGTATGTTATTCGTGTGTAATATGTACGTAATTCATACGTAATTCGTATGTAATTTGTGCATGATCCGTCTGTAATTGGCACATAATAAATATAATTCGTATGTAATTCGTACGTAATTCATACAGAATTCGTATGTAATTCGTACGTAATGTGTATGTAATTCGTACGTAATGCGTGTGTAATTTGTACATAATGCGTATGTAATTCGTATGCCATTCGAATTCGTATACCGTTTGAATTTCGTACGTGATCCGTATGTAATGTGCATGTAATTCGAATTCGTGGCAATTCGTTTTGTAATTCGTACTTACATTCTGCCCCCCCCCCCCTCTCCCCTTAGTCCCGCCACGTCCTGGAGGACCACGCCGAGCGTACGTTCAGCACTACCTGCTGCCGACCGTCCAGAGTGTCCTGCTCCCTGTGTGTGCTCAAGCGCTCCTACGTGCCTGGGGAGACGGTGCACGCCGACGTGCAGATACACAACATGACCATGAGGAAGTCGGGGCCCTGCCGGCTACAGCTCAAGCAGGTTGGGATGATCAAGATTTTATTTCATTGTTTTTTAACTATCAATCAACACGGTTATGATGATGATGATGATGATGAGGAGGAGGAGGAGGA